CCCTCATTCAATACTTGAAAAGAAAAATCAATCTTCAACAAGAAAATAATGAATTGAACAGTATACCTATCTACTATTCTGTGGATTCACGAAAAAATCATGAAAACATCATCATAACTTCCATATTATTACAGAATGTTTCATATTATTCGTCTATTTTGACTATTTTCACAGACGATGGCTTCTTGCAACGCAAAAAGCTGAATATTTTCAGCTTTTTGCGTCATTTCAATTACAGATTTTGCTCCACCAATCAGAATACGAATCGTAAAAAGCAAAACGTAAAAAGTTTGGTTGTGAACGCCGCTTAACCTCGAAATCTAGTTCATAGTTCATTATTTCATTTCAAATTCAGTGATCTACCAGTGTCATATTAGTGATATTCTTTCAAACTGAATTAACTGAAATAGTTCACTTGAACTAAACTGAATCAGTTAATATGCGTTCTTTCAAATGATTCTGTCAACTGATTCAGTTCAGTTCAAGATAAATGTGTCAGTACGTTCACAACGAAAGAATATCACTATTATAGTTTTTATTGAGTGACAAATGCAATGACAAATGGTGATAAGACCAAGTGACAAGACGAATTACCTCAATATTTCGCGTGCATTCGAGCTATCATTTGAATTTAGGTTCAATTTGATAATTTTTTTCTGGGACAACCGCAATCAAAATCGTGAAAAAAAAAATCGAAAAACCATGGTGAAATTCCCTATTGCATCTATTCTAATTATTGTTATCATGCTCATAGATTATTATTTTCTATCTCAGCTCTAGAGGTTAGTGAAGAAATAATTAGAAGATGATTCATATGTATCTGATTTGAAGTAAGTCACACTTGGTGAATTTATAATAGATTGAGATGAGACTCTGTACAGAACATCAGAGATATGAGATTTTTATGATCAACTAAATTCATTGAAGGCCTGTTCGTTTGTCATGCTCACCCTGCTACAAAGTGATGTGAGCAATATTTGATGTTCGTTTGTTGCGAACAATTATTGATGACTGAGTGTTCGTTTGACTGAAGCAAGTTGCCATAGATTACTTGAAGCAGGATTTATTTGCTCCGCGAATTTTCTGGGAGCAGAAAAATCAAATCAGATTGATTAAGTTGGATGACACATGAAAACAAAGAAAATGGCGGAAAATGCAAAAATAATGTATGAATATGGCAAAAAAGAGTAGTAATCTTAACATTGCCGAGGTAATAGACAAGAATTCGGACATCATCCTCGAATAATGCCAACCGTTTCATCATTTTAATCACTCATTCTTTTCCCTCGATCAACATCAATGATCAAAACCCCCAATCAAAACCAAATCGTAACAAATTTTGAAATTACTCAGATTAGGCTATGTTCAGAAATGATTTGTGCCACTGCTTTGTGTTCCTTTGTGTTGAGCAGTAAATCAAGCTTTCTGTTTGTTTGAGTTGAGCAAGAGATTAATATGTTCCTACTGGATCATGAAAATCAAATCAGTGACGTCAGATCACGTGATCGTCATGATTTTTTGAGCATGTTGAGCTTTTCAAACGAACTAGCATTTGAATATCTTCAACCTCAACTCATATCTGTGAATGTTAGCAATTTATGTGGCTGGCAATCATTAATGTGAAAAGACACTCGGAAAATTTTGCACCCCAATAGCTCTCCAACTGCAAAGACCTTGTAATATAATATATATTTTATCAAAAATAATTGCTGTAATTTTCATTTCAGGCAAAAGCTACTATTATTGCCCATTGTAAAGTGGCCTTGCAAAAATAATCTACGGTATTTCCGGCCCCCTCTTACTTTTACAGAAATATGCATATTTTCATTGGAAATGCACAAGTCAGGGTAGCAAAAGGTAGGGCCCAGAAATAAAATAATCATTTTGATGAGAGAGTTGATGAACAAAATTGCGATCGAATTATTGATGTACAAAACATTGAGTGACAGGATTGCAAACAAAAGAAAATCAGATTAAAAAAGGCTAGAAAGTTCTATGTGTTACTTCAGTTAAACCCTGAACCTATAAATTATGATTCCCTATAATAATTATTCATCACAACTAATAACTAAACAGAATAAACCCATATATAAATGAAGTCTCTAGTCTACCAATCCCTGAATGCCATATGAACATCATACATAGTGATAATAGCAAAATATTTAGGCACTCATGAAATGAACCCGAGACATCCATTTTTTATTGTCAATTATGTAAGACATATTATAAAATTTCACCTTATAACAAATGAAGAACCGTCCCCAATACACAAGAATACTCATTTCTGGAATGAAGACCAAGAAATTAATCATGAAACAAATTCCACTTAGATGTTTTTCCACTAGTGTGACCGTTAACATTCAAGTGTCAAATTACACCACACTGGACACATTTCACACATATTTTCTTTGTATTTTCTATAAACATTGTCACTTTCGAAATACATAATACATGTAAAACAATAAAATGTTAGCAGCGAATATTATTCCATCAGAATAGTTAAACGGTTTGTTGCTTACATCAGATGGGTTTCTATGAAAAATCCGCTTGGTTCTTCATCAAACAATTCTCGAGTATCGAATTTATGTTTGAAACTGAAGAGTTTTTCATTAGAATTGATACAAGTTAACCAGTGTTTTATGGTGAATACGTGAAATGCTACATGAGAACGTAATAGGTGATCCACTGTTTTTCATCCTCCTCTTACTCTTTTGTTGAAAGAACTATAACAAGAATCAGATGGGCATTTTAGCTGAAGATACCCACAACAGAAATGTCAAGGAACAACATAGCCAATGAAGAAACAATGTTTTCATAAATTAATAGCAAAACTCAATTGTACTTCTGACACAATCTAAAATGATGCATTTTTTTGCGAGTGTGTCTTTCAATCCTTTCAAACCACAGAACTCATATTACTTAATATGAGTTCTGTGTTTCAAACATGGACTGAAAGTGATCCATGTGAATCATAACATAACATAAGAATGCTAGTTGAATAGAAATTAACAAAGCATAAAGAGAACATTTTTCAATTTTTTTTTTTCAGGTTTGGATATGGTCATGAAATTGAGCAGTTTTTCACCCTGAATGATAAGACATTTTTCAAGGTATCTATAAAAAACAAGGGAAATATAATCGAATTGAGAAAACAATAAAGTTGGTGACAGCCTGGTGCATAGAAAGGCAAATATCATCTGACTTCCCTATATTTTGACATGGTTGCAATGGTAGAAAATAGTAATAGAAATATATGGATGTTGTTACTGTCTATGAAATAATAAACAGCTCATATTATATGCTGATGATGTATCTCTTATAATATCAGACAAAAGTGATGACAATATTGCAGCCAAGAGTAGTGTAGCACTAGACTCTCTCAGTACCTGGTTTTCTTCCAATAATATTTACCTCAATCCAACTAAAACTAACTTGGTGAGATTTCATACATGGCAAAAAAGCGCAGGACCTATAAATCTGGTCGGTGATAATGCAAATCTTGAACAAAAGAAAACTGTCACATTTTTAGGTGTCTCTATGGATAAATGTCTCAACTGGAGATCTCAATGCTCGAATCTTTTCTCAAAATTATCTTCTCTTACATTTCTATTGAGAAATATAAGATTCTTATTGAATAAATAACAATTCTTGAACTTTTACTTTGCTCAGGTAGACTCTCGACTGAGATATGCAGTTTGTTTGTGGGGTAATTCAGTAGCAGTGACCGACGTGTTGGTAGCACAAAAGAGGATATTACGATGTATGTTTAATATGCCCAGGAGAACTTCTTGTAGACCAATTTTCAAGGAATGCAAAATCTTAACTGTCACTGGTATTATATTATATTTGAAATGTGTATGTTTGTTTTTAGGAATAAGGAGAAGCTTAATTCAAATAGTGACCTTCATAATTATCATACTAGGCAGAAAAATAATTATTATGTACCCTTTGCAAATCAGAGAGAATGCACCAAACTTTATAGCACTAAAGCTTTTCAATAGACTACCCAATAATTTGAAGAATATCGTGAAGATTAACTGTTTTAAAAGCCAACTCAATGAATTCTTGACATCATCATGTTACTCCTCCCTGTTTTGTTCTCTTGACTATTCCTATATGGTTTTTGTAATTATCGAAAGGACAATAAAGTTTATTATCATTATTATTATAACTGCACCATTTTTTTGTCATATTCTTATACCAACTTCGTATGTCTCACCTTTCCAGTATTACAAAAACTGTACCATGCATAACAGTTGCGTTTGTTTCATGTCAAATCGATGAATTACATTGTGTCAGCCAATATGCATCATTCCGATCATTCTCTCTATATCGATGGAATGGAAAGTGGCAACCGGAAAGGAATGTTGGGTGCAATCAAACGACAGGAATGACGAAACCGGTAGCGGTTTGATATGAAACAAACGCAACTAATATGTACTCGGAATTGGAGAAATTCTGAAAGACAAGGTCTGCTTTTTTTTTACTAATAAAATCACTGTATATTTAGATAGCTATCGAACGACGAGCGTCTCCCGACACAACCATCTTGGCACATCCAAGGTCAAATATTGTACTACATGAAGCAAAATATTGGCGCCAATTTCTGAAATGAACTTCGTAATACTTATCTCGTCAATATTTTGGAAGGAGACAAAAAAATACTCTTTGATAAAGGTAGCATTAAGGAAAAGTGGATTCATTTAAAAAGAAAATTAATTAGAGATAGGACTAACTCTATGAATTCTATTACAAATAAAAGATGTGATGAGTTTCAGACATACAAATGTTCAATACATCGATAAACTATCGATATCTGTTATGAATAGGTTATGAAGAAATCCTTAAAATCAGTTTCATTTAAAAGACTACCGATTATTTCTTTTTGCTAAAGAATACTTGTTTTTTTGAATATTGAAGGATCTTTGGTTCTTTTCTTTTTAGTAGACGCATGATCCGCTTGTTTCAAAATGAATAATATTTCCTTCATTCATTGTGTCTATGAATTTATTGCAAATATCGATGTTATTCTTCAGATAGGGACGTTGATGCATCACACATACCTATTATTAATTCACACCTTCTTTTTATGTCCTCATATCATATTTGACCTTGGATGTGCCAAGATGGTTGTATCGGGAGACGCTCATATCGAATGAGTCAAGGAGGATTTAAATTACAGTGAACCACCCAGTACACCAACTCATTACAAAACTTCGAAATCAGAATCATCAGAGTCGCTAGCCTTACCTTTACCGTCCCCCTTCTTGTTCACCCTCACCTTCTTGTTGATGCCGCCCCCTCTGCCCCTACCACCCCTGAAAGTCCCCCTACCTCTGTCATTCGAGCCCCTGCCTCTATTACCGGAGCCACCGGCTCTAGGAGCTTGTCCCGGATTCTGGCGGTGAACCCCATGATGCTGATCGTACGGATGGGGGCCGTAATAGTGCCCCTGCGGGGGGCCTCTGTAGGGGCCGGCCCCAGAGGGAGGCCCATACGGCCCAGCTGCTGGGGGAGCGTTATACCCGCCCGACTGGGGTGGATAAGGGTGGGGATAGTATGGGTCTGGATGTGGGGGGTAGTATGGGTCTCGAGGAGGGTAGGGGTCTCGAGGAGAATAGGGTTCTTCGGGTTTTTTGACAGTTATGTTTATGTCGTAGGACGGGCGATCGTCTCTTTTGGGTTCATTGGGATCTGCAACGAAGAAATATATTTATATTTTTTTTATGTTCCGGTTCCCACGAAAAGGGATATTCTGTAATGTTCAGAGAACATCGTGAGAACCAAGGGAAATAAGGTAGGAATTGGTGTTCTTCTTGAATTTCTGAAGGTTATATGCTGTTTCGGAAAGCCTTTGTTATATATTTGAAATTAATGTAGTTTGACCGCGCTTCTATTAGTTGCACTAAAACGACCTATTTACCTGGTGGCGCTGCCCTACCTCAGTTTCCGGATGTTCTTCTACACCGAATTTAGTAGTTAAATTGATAGTGGTCAGGAGACATTGACGCTGATCGAGATTCTGCTCCCGGTTGGTGCCCACATGTGATTAAACCTTGCTTTGCTCTATTGAATGCTTATTGTTGGCTTATGAACTTCTGCTACTCAGCTATTGTGCAATAACGGTTTTGGCTAGCGACTTTGGGTGAATTGTGCATGGGTATACCTGGGATTAGCTGCCGACCAAGTTACCACGAGGTACTGACCGAGAGCAGCCCTTTGAGACATCAGAGGCAGTTTGGGCAGACCTGTCCCATAAGGGTATGTCGTTCCATAGTGCAACTCGCTTGTATAAATATATAATTTTTCTCAATTCTTTCAATTTTGGATGGAGGACATTTTTCGAAACCACAAAGGCTATCGAATTGCATTCATATGCCTCGGGGAACACCTCCCTTGGCAATGTGTTCCAGAGCCACGCTGTTCGTTGGATGATGCAGGTCTCCAAAAAGACCTCAAAGGGGTGCGAAGCCTCAACTCGCGGGGACTGCTAAGAGAGGAACAATTGTTGATATTTCAGAAGAGCATATGGTTATTCCTAGTATGATAATTATTGAAACCTACTTCAATTTTTGTGCATTTTTTTTTTTCATTTTCACTACGCCTCATTGCAATGTTATGCATATTATCTGAGATGTAACAATATTTTTGAATTGCTTTTACTCGATAATGATACATCTGGACAAGAGTACGTTTCCCTGTAAAGAGATGCGAAATTATATAATCTGAGATTAAATTTTCGAAAAATATGCACACAAAAAATTTTGAGCAATATTTAATGTAGTCCCACCCTGTATTATACAGTCCTGATTGAAATTTTGAAATGATTTAATTTTCATTGCATTGGGCATGGAAAATTTAGTTCTTGTACCAAATTGCATCTTTTTATCACATAGAGTTTCGGAAATACTCAAGAAATAACACCTTCAGGAGCCCCCTTTCAGGGGGCCATAGCGTTACCACCGATAAAACAAGGCCTGCATGCTCCGTGGGTGACGTCACTTAGTCAGGCCTAACCAGCGGCTCGAAACGACAAGCGCTTATAGACCTATAAGGCGACCGCGTATTTCGATTTTAGTTTTAGATCATTATTGAGCCGATTTTGCTTTTTTTTGAAGGGCTTCCGGTTGAAAGAGGATGCCAGCCGTCAACTGAGCCCTTCTTCGCATCCCATTCGATTTTATTATGGAAAAACGAAGTTTCAAAGCAAAAACCAGAATAAAACACAAATACCCACCTACAGCAACCCATTCGAATTAAATATATTGGCAAAAATTGTAGTGATTCAATCTCATTAGAGGTGAACTTCACTTATACAGGGCCCGCAGAACATAAACTTATCGTGAGATTGATCGAAAGAAAATTGGAGAAAATGTATTTTATTTTGATAGACATGCCGTTTGTTATAATTACCTATATTTATCTTGGAGAATTCCTATTACCTAAAAAATTAGCCAGTGAGTGTTTTCAATTTCCTGTTGTTGGATTTTTTACCCAATTGGTCGTTAGACTTGAAACAGTAATTTTTAAGTAGAGTGTTTGTAGTACATGTTAATATAATAGTTGCAATTTGATCATTGCAATGAATTCTGCATTCATTGCCACGAGGCAAATGACCGTTTTCAGAAAGAAATTTGAGAATGTATTGAGTCAGAAACCAAAGAGTCCAATGCATTCGAAATATGTTTCAAAACCCTCGTTTTCTGATTATCAAGACATTTTCCCGAATTATGAATCTCGTTCTTATCTATTTCAATTAGTAATTCCTTGATTTGATTGATATTATTAGATATAAAAGGTGTTTTCAGATTGGCTTTTAGAGATGTTTGTATCGCTAGGTCATACAAAAATGATTCCACATTCAAAACAAAATCAATAACAACCGAATATGTAATTACGGGCCCTGGAGAATAAGACAATTTGAATAATGTGACTTTTTGCAAATCGATAATTTTGAACCACTTTTCGGGCAACTGAAAAGACTCTAATACAACTAGAAATTCTTGAAATTCTGTGTAGCAAAATGATTTTTGGTAATTTTCGAATTCAGTTTTACTTTTGGTAAGTGCTTGTGCCAAATTTTTAGTCTCTAGTATCTCAAGTTTTTCATCACGACTTGTGCGTAATTTTACATCTTTCGATAAATAAGATGGACAGTTGGGAAATTGAGTGGGAATAACATCTCGTTTGAGCCTAGGAATTTTCAAATCTATTGTTACAGTTTTGCCAGTTTTTGAATCGGTCGCAGTAGATGAAGTAATAATATCATCTTTAGTAAAATGTAATTCACATACTTTACTGTACTTAGATGGAGTCGTAAAATCCTTGCGGTGAATTGCATGTACCCACTTTTTCGATAGTTCCTTGTCCAACGGGAAACTAAAAGCATGAACTTTTGGACCACCCACATAATTCCCCCGACAAAAGGGAACACAACACTTGTAAGGCATTGTTATTTCGCCTATCACAACACGAAATATTTCACAAAACAGTAATTTCTCCGCCAATTATTTTGATGAATAAACAACAAGAGAATTCAAGCACACGCGATTTACCTACGCCACCGTTCTTAAACAATAACAAACTGACGATCGATCGACGCGAATGCCTTGGAAGATGGCCTGAGTATGCGACGTCACGAGCTGTTTACGTCAGAGTCTGCTGGCCTTGTTTTATCGGTGGTAACGGCCATAGCTCCCTTAGGAGAAAGACATTTCTCGACTCATGTTTATTGGAACTTTTCTTTCTATTTTTGATCGAAGAAGCCGCTGGTGGAGTTTGGCAGGCTAATTTCGAGACACCCTGTATATGTCAACTTACGTCTATGATCATGGCCGTATCGATACGGATCCCCGTACGGACCTGCGGCCGGAGGCGGCGGCGCGGGCCCGTAAGCGTTGGCCGAGTACGCTCCTGCAGGCGGAGGCGGATAGTAGCCCCCGTAGGAGTGATGAGCACCTGGGGCGCCTGCGTAAGGGGCCCGATTCTGCTCGACCTCTTGGTAGGACGGCGGCGGCACGTCCGGCATCGATCTTTGGGTCTCGTATCTGTCTGGACCTGAGAATGAACCTCGATGATTTTTCGAATTGAGATACGACCATCAGTCGTGAAGAGCTTGAGTTTGAGGGGGTTTCAACGAGAGGTAGCCGGTTGGGATTCATTTTCTATTACACTTCTTTGAAATCAACTTGTTCTAATCTATATTAGTAACTAGTAAATTTGAAATGGAATTATCATATTGAGAAACTATGTAATAAACTGAATAGTGTGACCTATAGTTTGAGAATTATGGCAAAATATCTGAACAGCCCAACATTGAAGATTGTGTATTATGCACATTTTGAAGCAGTGTTAAGATATGGGATTATTTTTTTCGGTAGCAGTGGTGAATTCAAAAAGTTATTCACAATCCAGAAACGAGCTGTTAGAATAATATCAAATTTGGATTTTTTGGAAACGTGTAGAGGAAAATTTGAACAAAATAGAATTCTAACAGCTAGTGCAATATATATATACAAGAGTGTTTACTATTCTTCTTTAAAAATAAACATTTTTTCAATGATTGTCTTTCACAACATATATATGGTACTAGATCCGTAATTTATAACTATCCAGCACACAGACTAACACTCACAGAAAAAAGTACAAAATACTGCTGCTTAAGATTTTTTATGAAGCTGCCTCGTGAGGTTCAAGAAATACAAACACTTAACATGTTTAAGAAAACAATTTTTAATTTATTAATGAAAATAGAGCCTTATACTGTAGATGATTTTATATCAGCACAACTATAATAGTATAATGTCATAATTATGTTATTCTATCTGTATTCCATGCATTTTTATAAAATCTATGTTATTTAAATGTTGTACATGTGAAATACACGATTTTGTATAATGTAAATATTAGGTACACGTCCTGTCAAATGTACCATTTTGTGACGTTTTTTCATTTAATATTTTGTTAAATTTTATTTATTGCATAACATTCCTTGAAATAAAGATTATTATTATTATTATTATAGCAGACCTCGCAAACATTTTGCTATATACATTATTTCAATAAAAACATTTTTCAGTTCAATATTCACCAAGTCACTATTATTATTTTATTTTCTACTTCTTTTTAGTTTCGCTATCTATAAAAGCGTGTTTCTTTAGTTTTTCAAACTACCATTTATTTCAACTTCTTATTAGGTCACTTGAATTTCCCAATTTTGATGAAAAAATCATAATATCCGACTCCTAAAACCCCAGATGAGAATTTTGAATAGAATCGGAACATAATAGATAGATAGATAGATAGATAGATAGATATTTTATTTGTCTTTTAGGTGCATTCATAAGAATACAAATAAGATACGTCACATATACATAAGTTATGAATATTACAAAAACTAGTGGCTAAGACTAGAGATTTACAGATGAAGTTAAAAATTAAAAATTAAAAACTAAAAAAAAAGTGTGCATACAAACATACGAGAACAATATGATGTATAATCAATGATAAAAACTGAGTAAAATGTAGTGTAAAAAGTAATTTATAAAAGATAATGCACCAGGAATAATATACCCCATGGTTATTTATTTTGTTGTGGATGTTAGGGCCGCTATATATTCTCCAGTAGTATAAAATACATTGGAGGTCAAATATGAGTGCATGTGTTTTTTGAAACTTTTGACACTCAGAGCTTTAACGTAAGTGGGTAGTATATTGTAAAGATTTACATTGAGAGAGTTTCTACTTGATTTTTGTAATCTGAATTTAGATGGTCTTATCAATTGAGAGCCTCTAGTGTTGTAAGTATGGAAATCAGCATTCTTTTCATGATTATTCTTGTTTTTATGTATTTCTAAAATAGATTGATAGATATATATGGATGGTAAAGTCATGATACTGAGTTCCAGGAAAAGTGGTCTACAGGAATCGGTAAACCCTGACCCACAGATTATCCTCACTGCTTTTTTTTGTAACAAGAAAACTTCGTTAGCTTTCACGCTATTTCCCCACAGTAATATACCATATGAGATTCGTGAATGGAAGAAAGCATAATAAGCTGATAATAGAACCTGCAAACTAATGATAGTCTTCAGTTTACGGAGTAAAAATAAGTATTTTGAAATATTTGTACACAGCTGCTCTGTGTGACCTGACCAGTTTAATCTGTCGTCCAGTGTAACACCTAACAGTTTGACGGTATCACCAAATGCTGTTGAGTTGTTCATAGAAAATAATATATGTTGTGTTTTACTTTTCTTCAATTTAAGATTATTACTTTTAAACCAAGTTTCCGCTTTAGCTTGAGCCAGATTTATATTTGCTAACGAACCAATTGTATCTTCACTGGAGCTGGTGAGAGTTGTATCGTCCGCAAATGCAATACATCCATAAGGGCACATATATGAAAATAGGTCATTTACATAGATAATGAATAGGAGAGGGCCTAGTACAGAGCCTTGTGGAACCCCACATGCTATTAATTCAAAATCAGATACGTTATTTGAGTCTATTACAACACATTGTTGTCTATTTGTTAAATAGGATGAAAAAAGGGAGAGGGGTACTCCTCTAATACCATACTCCTCGAGTTTTCTGATGAGAATGGAATCGGACACACAATCGAAAGCGTTGGTCAGGTCACACAGAGCAGCTGCAGTATGATGACCCTTTTCGAAACCCTCAATGATATCATCAACTACCTTCCTCAGAGCATGCACTGTTGATGTCGACTTCCTAAATCCGAATTGATTTGGGTTCAACAAGTTGTTTCTATGGAAATAATTATACAGACGATTTTTTAAAATAATCTCGAATATTTTACCGAAAAGTGGAACTATCGAAATTGGGCGGAAGTTTTCAATATTTGTGACATCACCTTTTTTGTAAATGGGAAGAACTCTGGATATTTTGAGAGCATCAGGAAATCGACCTTCCCCAATGCAGGCGTTGAAAAGTGTAGTTAAAGGTTCAATCAAGTACATAGCTGTTTCTTTTATTATTTTACTATTCAGATTATAAACATCAAGCGAATTTGTATTCTTCAGCTCGAAAATTGCATTGGCAACCTCTACATTAGAAATGGGCTCCATAAAGAAGGATCCTGGACTGTTCGGCTTATCCATATAAGAGAGTGGAATAGAACTAGCACTTTTATGTGAAAGCTCATTTGTTATATTCATACCCACAGAAGAAAAATATGAGTTGAATTCTTGTGGAGTAAAATTTGCGTTATGATTGGTGACAGTTGTGTTATTCATTTCAAACTTGATGAGGTTCCAACTATCTCGGATTTTATTGTCAGAGTTCAATATAAAATTGTCATATGCATTTCTTTTTGCTAACAAAACCATTTTTTGATACTCACTATTTAAAGTTATGAAGGCTTCCTTATGTACAGGGTCGTTGGTAACATCATATCTTGTTTTTGATGCTTGAACAATATTTTTCATATTTTTTATTTGATCATTGATCCAGTAGCATGGTGGATTGGGTTTTCCAGTTATTTTTCTTAGAGGAAAGTGTTGCTCTACAAGTGTAGAATAGCAATTCAGTAAAAAACTTGACATATCATCAGCAGAACTTGCATTGTAGAAACTATTCCAATTCATCATGCTCAAGGATTTCTTGACTTCCTGTAAACCATCTGAGGTAATGCATCTCTTACTGAGGGGTGAGCTTTTTCCCAATATGGGCATTTTAACAGTTATGAACTGACCATAGTGGTCAGATAGACCAGGGTCAATAACCCCCGTTTTGTAGCATTCATTTGTTAGATTTGTGAAAATGTTGTCAATGCAACTTTTCGAGCCATTTTCAACCCTGGTGTAGTCTGAAATTGTGGGGTTTAGTCCAAAAGAATTTAGTAAGAAACATATTTTCGATTTGTTTGTCGAAGACATCATAAAATCTATGTTGAAATCACCTAATAGGATTATTTGAGTGAGTTTTCCTGAAAGATCAGTTAACAGTTCTTCAAGCTTATTGAAAAAGATGGTACAATCATTAATACATGATGACCTATATAAAGCTATGAGAGCAGTGTGTGATTTCGGCAGCTCCATACCACACACCTCTATATCTCGTTCTATACAGTAGTTAGTCAGATTCAAAGGTCTCGCTAGCAAATTGTTTTTTATATTTATATATATAGCAGCCCCGCCGTGCATATTCCTCGGCCTAGTAAAATGAGAGACTAGCTTATAATTAGGTATGTTACAAAATTGCAAACATTGGTCATCCAGCCAATGTTCAGTAAGACAAACAACATCACATTTGAATTCTTCTAAGAAGAGGTGTAGTCTCTCCACTTTGTTTGCAAGGGCACGGATATTCAAATGGAATATATTAATATTTGTTTTGTCACCAACGGTGAACTTGCAGTTGCTGTTCGATTTAGATACAGTGTTAGCTTCGTAAGAGTGAAATTTTGATTGTGTTTCATGTTTAATAACAAAACTCGTCCGCAATACTGGATCTACCATCTTGAATTCCCTAATTTTGACGAAGGAATCATAATTTTTGATCCCGAAAACTCCCACTTACAAATTTTGAATAGAGTCGATATATAATTACAAACTCTTCCGGTATAATGGTTCCACCGTCTTGAATTTCCAAATCCCGCCCTTTCCAAATTTTGACAAAAGTATCATAATATCCGACCCCCAAAAACACCCAGATAACAATTTTGAATCTCCTAATTTTGACGAAAGAATAATATTCTCCGACCCCGAGAACCACCAGATAGCAAAGGACCCCGCACAAATCAAATGCAATTTTGATTTCTGTCAATTTACCTAAAATATTGGGAGAAAGTAGTTCAAAGTGTGCTGAACAAAAGTCTTCATGGGGTTAAACGATTTCGATGAGTAGTTTTCGTTCTACGCTCTCGTGAATCCTCTGATGCTACGTATAGAAAAAACTTGACTAGATGATCCACAAAGGGGGTACACGCGCACTTATGAGATATCTGAATCGAATTCAGGTGAGGTTAGGTTAGGTGTGTGTGTATGTGTGGTTGTATGGGTGCATTGTGGGTGTGTGTGTATACAGGGTCATACAAAGAGGCCATAGTACCTGTCACATCCACGTTCGTTGTCCTTGAGTGGCGCAAAGAACAGGTGATATGATTAATAATATGACAGTTGATAGATGTTAATGTGTGTAATATATAGTAATGAAATATAGCTCAACTAATCAGCAAACTTTCTGAATTTCTGAATTCGATTTCGATACCTCACAAGTGCGTGTGTACCTCCTTTGTAGATCCTTTTGGAGACTTTTGTTCAGCACACTCTCAACTACATTCCCAAAATCTCAGGTAAATTAACAGAAATAAAAATTGCATTTGATTTGTGCGCTGTCGTTTGAATAAAATCGGATCATAAGTACAAAATCCGCCATTTTGAATCCGCCATCACGAATTTCTTAATTTTGATAATAATAATTAATAATCCCCGATCACGAAAACCCCTAGGTACCAATTATAAAAATAATCGGATTATAATTACAAAACTCGTCCGCCATATTGGTTTCGCCATCGTGAATTTCCAAATTCCGCCCGAATTTTCAAATTCTGACGAAAGAACCATTCGACCCCGAAAACCCCCAGATACCAATTTTGAATAGAATCGGACCATAATTACAAAAGTCGTCTGATATATTAGATCCGCCATCTTGATTTTCCTAATGGTACCGGGATAAAAAGTATCCTATAACTTTCTCCTGGTTCTAAGCTATCTCCCCACCAATTTTCAGACAAATCGATCCAGTAGTATCGGAGCCTATTCAATACAAACAAACAAACAAACAAACAAACAAACAAACAAACAAACAAACAAACAAACAAACAAACAAACAAACAAACAAACAAACAAACAAACAAACAAACAAACAAACAAACAAACAAACAAACAAACAAACAAACAAACAAACAAACAAACAAACAAACAAACAAACAAACAAACAAACAAACAAACAAACAAACAAACAAAAAAGGAAACAAACAAACAAACAAACAAAAAAGGAAACAAACAAACAAACAAACAAACAAACAAACAAACAAACAAACAAACAAAAAAGGAAACAAACAAACAAACAAACAAAGAAGCGAACAAGCAAACAAGGAAACAATCAATCAAATCTTTCCTCTTTATAATATTAGTATAGATATTGTAAGATAGGCTTCTCCAGGCTATCGCACGGAAACAGCGCACGGGAAAACTCTGAGAATAACCATGGAAACGAATCATACTTGCCAAAAACTGTATTGTCAATCAAATTTATGCCGACAAAATGAACTCTGAAGAAAATCCCGAAATTCCCGGCACAAGCGACCGCGAATTTATTACCAGTAAAATCCAGGTCTAGTAGTTCGAAGTTTTTTCATTCCTACAACAACTGTGAAAATAAAAATGTTCCAAGTTTCTTTCCTGCCTTTTTTTATGTAATATTTTATTATTATATTTTGATTTTCATCGAAGTGTAATAAAAAATATCGTTCATTACTCGTCCAGAAATGATTTTTCCGTGCTTGCATGACTCGTCACACGCGCACGGAAAAATCCATATTTCCAGACTTATAATGAAATATACTATTGTGATTATTATTGAAAGATGCACTGTGTTAAATTCAATGTGTTTGTATGCAATGCTGAATCCAAGTTTAGCGCATCTAGGATTCAGTTCTGAGGGAGGTAATGATAAATTATTATACAAGTTTTATAAGACACTATTTTGTCGCACGCTTTGTTTGGAGTACGACGAGTAAAGCGAGTAGTGAACGTCACTTAGAAGGGTAAAATGAGACGTCAGTTTCATGACGTTGCAGGGACGTCCTGTCGACGTCCATGTTTCCCAGACCATATCTAAACCAAGTGTACTTAAATTGTGAAACCGTTAGTTTTGTGACGTACCTATATATACAGGATGGGCATTTTCAGTGTCGAGAAGTTTTCAGAAAAAATCGTTTTTTCATTAATTTTACACACATATATAGAAACTTGTACGTCTTGGTAATTTTATATATATGCTTCTAACGTCGATAGAAGTATAACTCATTAAAACAAATCAACATGCAAGTTTTATTGGAATCCTATGTAGCTACCCAAAAAGTAAGAGAAAACTTTTTTAAACTTTGACACTCTGGATATCTTGGAAACCAATCAAGCTATATATGCATATATGTATACAAATGCTAATATAGGTGTACCAATATTGAAACCGTCACTTCAATGACATTGCAGTAACGTATCTATGACGTTGCAGTAACGTATCTATGACATTGCAGTAACGTATCTATGACGTCTAAAAATCACGTCGGTGTGACGTACCAATTTGGTGTCATTCAGAAAATGTTTCAATAATTTGCTATTAAGATTTTTGTTGGGTGACAAATAATGCATGAATATACATTACTCAACAAAGTGAAGCTAAATTAACCAACATCCTTTTCAATGCTATCAAACTATTTTTGGTTTGCTTACATCTCGCCGACACAAACTGCCTATATAATACGAGTAACTGATTTCATTCTGATGGAGATGCGTACTGAGGGATAGTGCTGCTGAATAGACGATTGAATGGACATGACACCGAAGGGACCACCAAGCAGACTCAACAATGCATAATCAATATTATATGTCATCAGAGGTCAGTGGTGATTATCACACCATGTTCGAGGAAATTTTTTCACGTGTCATCACCAAATTTGAACGTCATTTCGACGTCACAGTTTGGTGAGTGAATGACGTCAATAAACGTGAGTGATATGACGTCATTGGGCTGTGACTTATTCACGTCATTCATCACGTCATACGACGTCAACTCCCGATGTCACCTTGGTCATCCAACTGACATAAAAATACGTCACTGCAACGTCATCTGGTTGCCTGGGCTATTACTACAGCAATAAGTTTACACAATGAGTTATCAATGATGAATTCGGTTATGCTTCATTGCACAATTCATAATTCACATCTTAGTTCAAATTTCATCTAAATACCTCTATTTTGGGCCCTGTTCTCGTATCCTGCACGATTCTTATTTCTGTTATCCATGTTCTTCTTCTTCTTATCATCTTCCTTCTTATTTTTCTTGTCATCCTCTTTTTTATTTTTCTTATCCTCTTCCTTCTTGAATGGTATGTTATGAATATATTCCGTATTTTCATGCTCTTTAGCCCTGGACTTTTTCTGGCACTCGTACAGTTCCTTGATCTTTTTGCCGTTGTGTTTGAGCTTGTAAAGTTCTTGGATGCTATCAGATACTTCTTTAGGAGTGATCGCATTGTCTGTGCGTCCTAATCTCTTGTTCAATTGTAGGGCTTCATCGAATGACTTCTTCATTTCGTCATATTCTCTTAGAAGTTTTCTGAGATGATCGACGGTTTCCTTATCACAAAGTTTACCCATCGATTGTTCCCTATAAAATTCACGTATTGATTAAATATTTACACTTTTGACTGGCAAATAGGATTGTGCAATCTCCACAAGAGCAGAGTCCCTTAATGTAAGGGTTCTGGTGAATTCCTTCCATGGCATTCAGGGAAGAGTACATCTATACATCTTTCTTTATCTTTCCAAACTTTTTGCATCTCATCTACTACCACTAAATTTTGAATTTCCGGAATTATCACCATCAAAAATAGTCTTACTACTGATATTTTTCAATTTGTGTTCATAAAAACAGTAAATTCAACTCATAATTGCCTAGATATTTGCATTTTCCGATTTATTGCATTCTTCTGAAGAGAGAGGGAGAGATAAATCTTTATTAGGAGTATACCATCAAAACGTCATTGGCCGAAGTCATCATCTTCTGAAGATTTATGTTGATTTTGCCTAACGGTGAACAACTTTAGACACTTGTTTATAGTGTATGTTGAATTGATCTTCATCATACAGGTCATGGAAAGAAAGTCTGAATGTATAGAGAACGAATTAATATTTTTATCAGATAGAGAATGCGAATTCTCAATGTATTTTTTTATATGTTTCCATTTTTCACAATGAAATCAACATCATTATTCACATTATTGAACTCTCTTCCAGCCAATTCATAGATCAGGCTGAACTATATATAAACTAAAAGAAATGGCAATGATACTCACCTATTAATAAGGTACTCGATATATTCTTTGTAGGAATCATTGAATGGTGTAATAGCATTGTTTTGCAGAAAATGAGCGAATCTAGCACAAGTAGTGACAATGACCTGGTGCTCATTGTCTAGCTCTTCCTTTTTATTGATAATGCTTTGCATAATTTTCCTAGCATTCTCCACTACTTTCGTTTTGTCATTGATGTTTTTCTTGACGGTAGGATCGACTTCTCGGATTTCTTTAACTTTGGTCATATAGTAAATGTGTTGATGCACTCTGAAACTGCACCCACATTTTTGACAATCATTCGTTCTTGCCATAGCTGCACAATTGACCAATCCGGGATCGCCGATCATTTCTCTGGTTATGTTCGAAAGATAACAGGGATCGTGGCACCTCTGTTTGTAATGCCAAATATTCCTGCCCAATTTCTATAAGAGAAAGACATACCGGGTGTCAACGAATCTATTAGACAAGTCATAACTTCTAGACCATTAGGTGTATCAAAATGAGATTTGGTATAGGTAAATAGTATGTGAAGAGGAGAGTTTTCACATATTTTTCACTTTCCGGTCACTTCTGGTTCCACCGGAAATGGCTCCGGTTCTAAATTTTTAAATGGAGCACCCTGTATATTCTAACATTTGTGGATTTCTGAGACAATTATAGATCAGAATGTGACATTTTCGAAAGTTTTTATGCCTACTTGATTTTTTCGGAGTCACTTTTGAAATTACATTTAGGTGGCCATGATCGGAAGTAAACTAATCTAAGGACCTCAGGTGATATCAGAAAATTACAATCGTGAAGTTTTAGTGACAAGTATGATAGATATGAATAAGACAAGTTGGCAAAATTACATTTTCGTGTCTCTAACTATTATTTTTCAAATGGCGACCATTTTTTGACAAAATGTTACCTTCTTCTCTTGAAGCTTATGTCACTGTCATAACCTAAGTGAGTGTTTTGTTCTCCCAAGAAGAGTTGATCGAAATAACTGCAAAATATTATGCATCATGCCTATCCTCGGCACACTTGACAAAAGTAAATAAATTATTAAGAAGTATTTTCGTCAGTAATATTTAATTTATGTTCTTATTTGTAATCCAATCGCAAATAAATTAGTATCGTTAGATTCGTCAAAATATCCTTTTTTCGGAAAGTGCTTGTCACAAAATGGTCGCCATTTGAAAAATAATAGACATCGTTCGGATAATGGTTTGCAATGTTCTGTATAGCTTACTCCTGCCTATCCTTAGAAATTTTTTTGTGCAATGAAAATTTTTGTAGAATGAGTTGATGCACACACACAAATATTCATCAGTAAGCTTACCCTTCAGCCGCCTCAATATACATATAGCAGGTTGGTATTGCTAGACGCTTACATAATTGATCAATGTGAGGCAAAAAATTCAGACCTGCATCTATATAGATGTACCACAAGCAATTCAACTACATTTACGTCTGACCCATTGTTCAATTTCAAATTCAGAACTCGAGTATTTCCATTATTGAGAGTAAGATAATTACTCTCATTAAAAATTTTAATTTGTCCAGTGTTGGACATTTTTTGTCATTAAGGTTTTTTTCCATTTCGGTCACAGTGGATTATAGACATGTCATCAACATACCCAATAGGATGTATACTTTCACTAACACAAACTAAGTTGAACATCTGATCATTGACATAAATAATCAAAAGTACAGGTCCTAAAACTGATCCCTAGGGTACTCTGTGTTCTGTTGTTACAATGTCAGATACACCGTCTTGCCATTTGACTCTAGCTTTTCTATCCGTGAGATAAGACATAAGTTCAGACTCTTACACCATAATGCTAGTTTTTTTATCAAGATATTGTTATTAAAAGTGTCGGAGGCGCGAGAAAGATCGTAAAATTTTGCAGTAGTGTTTAATTTTCAAAGCTTATATTTTTTCACAAGCGTTGCATAGTGCAGTAATGGTTGATTTGTCAGACCAATAGCCATATTGGAATTCTGTTAGTAATTTGTATGATTCAAAATAATCTATGAGTCTGGTTTTGAACACTATTTCAAACATTTTTGCCAGTATTTGTATTATCGAGATTGGTCTATAACAATTTGTGTCTTCAGAGTTTCCTTTTTTGAAAACTGAATCGCCTATGGGAATATTAGGACAAAACGAGTTTTTACTGGAGAATTACCTACTAAAAAATAATTACCTGGTGAACTTCAGCACACTTGTAAGTTGTGCAAACCGTTGACGGTTGAGTCATTTTCACAACTTCCAAGTCAATAGTTGGCATGTACAGTTTAGTCTTGAGCTCATCCAATGAGTCGTGATCCATCTGAAGATTCGCCTCATGTCTTTTCAGTGCATGCATATTATGGTTGATGAGTTGGGATATTTCGGCTAGAGGTTGTGCCAATTGGTTTATCATTCGTCTGGCCTCATTTATTGCACTGGTGCTTTTGACATGATGTGGTTTCAAGGGAGTATTATTAGCATCACCGACGATGTAATTGATCATCCTAGAAAACATATTCATTTACTTTGAAAAGCTGTAAATCTTCGTTAATCACGACTGAACAAACAATTGCCCCACTTGATATTATGAAAATAATTTTATCGGGACACACTATTTTTTTTTCTGTTCTGGTTCCCATAAAACGGGATATCCTGTAATGTTCAGAGAACATCGTGGGAACCAAGGGAAATAAGGTAGGAATTGGTGTTCTTCTTAAATTTCTGGAGGTTATATGTTTTTTTTTTATCGCTTGGAGCGCACGAAAGGGAATCCCTATAATGTCTCGGGGAACACCTCCTTTGGCAATGTTTCCAGACAGGACAGGTCGGATCTGTGCCTTATAGATCATAAGCAGCTGACTGGAAGTGAAATAGCTCCTGGCCCGAAACAGAAAACCAAGTTTTTGGGATGCACTTTCAGCAATTGATCTCACGTGATTTTCCAAAGAAAGGTTATTGCTGATAGTAATACCAAGCATCGAGATGGATGTCTTCAAAGGTATGGTTACACCTGACAAGCTTATGTTTGGCACAGTGAGATCGGCTTTTCTAGAGAAAAGGCATGCTTGTGTTTTGTTTGCATTGAAATCTACCAAGTTATTGGATCCCCATTCGAGAATTGTTTATTGAGGACCCGTTTTTTATGAACCTTTGGAATTCTTGGCAATGGGCATTGACAGTTCAAGGAATGGTAGCATCATAAAATTTTTTTCAACTCCAAATCTTTCAATTAGGCTGAAGATGGTCTTTTATAAGACCGAAACATGTCCCTCATGATTAAGTAACAATATCATTAAAATTTGTGGAGATGACTTCGAGCATTCCTTCCTTCCTGCTTAACAAATGAGTTAAAAACAGTGTTGCCAGCTCAAAAATTCTCAATTTTTCAACAATATTGCTATCAATTGAACTTATACCCAAGTTTGCAAGACTGCCCAAACAGAATACAGAACTTCATAGCAATATTGTTATGTTATGATCATACCAATATTATTTTAGTAATGTTATAGCAAGATCCGAAGAGAATCAACCTCGAATGTATAACTGTTTATGAAAAACATGCTTACTTCCAACATTGTTCCACAGAATTCTTCCAGCTCTCTTTATTGCGCTCTTTGATTGAGACATCAAACTCCACACCATTCTTGATAGCTGCTAAATATCTGAATGCCTCATTATCAAAACAGAAGATATTTCTATTGATGGGGATTTCAGCGTGAGGAGGACTTTTCCTGATTGCTTCAATTTCATTCTTCAGCAAATTGATGGTTTCACCTGGCCCATAGTCAGAGCCTCTAGTATTAGTGAATGCAAATATAATATTCTTACTTGCAGATTTGTCTAACCTGGACAAAATTTGAGACATGCAATATTTAAAAAACACTGTATTTCTGGATTGATTGGGTTTGAAAAGAAAACAGATTGCATGGAGCTCGTGTAGTTGACCAATGTAAGATAGAATGTTTTCAGAATTGATATCATCCTGATCTACACCCCTGGTATCTCCCATTCCAGGAGTATCTATCAAACGAACTTTCGATTTGCCATTCCAAATGGGGAAAACGTATGTTTTTACATCTTGGGTAGCTGAGACACCACTACTGAGAAGTTCGTTTTTATCACCAGCTCCCATGCTGATGACATGGAATTCACCATCTTTATCCTTCATGCTGAACTCTGTAGGTATGAGAACGAGTAAGTTCTCATTTTTTGCTTTTTTCAAATCCGCATACGTTAAATAATTGGCAACAGAGTTGATAAATGTCGATTTACCAACTCCTGTTTCTCCCAACAGAAGAATATTTATATCTGTCTTTTCAGTTATACTGAGGTCCTTGACTTTCTTTTCTAGGTCCGATCCTGAGGAAGCCATCTTGGGATTTTCCTGCAAAAAATAATGATCTCAATAAGTGTTATTGTTCACTTAATAATACTGATCGCTGATTCCTTATACAGGGTATTCCTCAAAGACATGCTAATATTTAAGGAGGTACTTCTTTGACTCATTTCAAGATAAAAACTTCCTGTGAACGTATGTCTCAAAAGTCTTAACTTGTGAACAACGAAGAAAAATATTCAAATTTCATACAATCCTATGAAGGCCATTCAATTCCGTACAAAAAGATCTTCTGGTGATACTCGACAGAAAGCTCCGTTTTTGAGAAAAAAACGGAAAAACGAGACCAGACTTCAAATTTTGATGTAAATGCTAATTTGAGAACTCCATTCAGGACATCAATTACTGGAAAACTACAGTATGCAACATTTTGAAATTTTTGAACCGTTTCAGTCACATAGACTAAATATTTTCATCACGAAACCTATACAGGGTGGAACAAAAAAATAATCTATGCATATTTTCAACTTTGATACCCTGTATCTCGAAAGTTATATGACGTTTACGACATACGTTCATATGAAATCAATTTCTTGAAATGGGTCCAAGAATCGCCCCCTTGAATATTAGAATGTCATTAAGGAACACCCTGTATACAGGGTTACTGGTAATTCTATACATTCCTTCAAATTAAACCCTAAGAAGCATTATACAAAAGTTGATAGTTCTTTTCTTTTTTTTTTGTTTTCATCCAGATGATAGTACCCTCCATACTGCGTTCTCTTCCAGAATTCCCATTTATTCCCAGGAAACTAATAACTCACGGCACCAAAACTCAAGCCTGCATTTTCTCTAGAAAGGCGGAACTCAGTATGCCCGATATTGTAATGTCTGGCTCCACCATCCCCACCAAGCCCACCATATCTATGCTCGGTATTTCCATCTGCAACACTCTTTCATGGGATAATCATGTCAGATCCATCGCAAAAGCTGCTTCACAAAAACTCGGATTCTTGTTCCGCGCGAAAAGCTACTTTACACCTCAACAGCTTCTCATGATCTACAAAGCGCAGATACGGCCTGTTCTAGAATACTGTTCCCACATATGGGGTTCAGCACCAAAACATACGCTGATGCTCTTAGATTCCATCCAGAGAAGAGCCATTCGCCTGGTGGGTGACGCCACACTCACTCACTCTTTGACATCATTGGAACACCGTAGAAAGGTCGGCGACCTTTCACTTTTCTATCGATACTTCCACGGGAAATGTTCTTCGGAAATCTCTGCAATCATCCCTTCACTAGCAATACCAATCAGACGAACTAGACAAGCCCAGTCAGCACATCCTTTCGTTGTCAACCTCGAAAGATGTCGAACAGCACTTTATCAAGACTCCTTCATCCATAGAACGGCTAGGCTCTGGAATTCATTGCCTGTGGAAGTATTCCCAACAACATATAATCTCCAAAAATTCAAAAAAAAATCCAATACCTACCTCCTGTCCCTATCCTCCCTAGGAACGCACGATGTTCTTTGAACATTATAGGGATTCCCTTTCGTGCGCTCCAATCGATAAAAATAAATAAAAAAAATGAAAAAATATTACTCACCAACAGGTACCGATTGAATTTATAACTGGTATTTGACAATATGGATGATACATACAATATTTATGGTGACAAAGGAACCTAGCTATACCTATATATGTATGTGTATATCAAAGTATATTACCGTGTTTGCTATTTCTAAGATTAGATAGATTAGATAAGATTAGATATAGATGAATCATTCCAGAATATGGATTGTTACAAAAGGTAAAATTGAATCATACATAAAACTGCACATAAATGCAAATAACCAATACGAACAATTAACAAGAATATTATAGTTATTTACTAAACAAGTGCGAAAAGTAGTACTATTCCGCACACGACCGCAGCTGCATGAACTATTACATTGTTTTTCTACGGCGATAACACAACATTGCTCTTGTTTTACTGTGTTCGATACATCAATGAGGTACTTTGTATGTCATCAATTTTATCTGCGTATCTTGATATCACAATGACTCCATTGTGTTTCATTTCAAAAATATCTCATCGCTCATGAAATGTCAAATTTCAAGCAATGATAGCCTCTGTCTAATAGATGAGCATTACTTGACAGGAAATCAGATGGCTACAAGACGAAGAAATCGAAAAGGCCGCTGGTATCTATTATAGCCGTAGAAAAATTATAGTGTATAACTTATTGCAAGGAATGCTAATTTCCTACTCGAATGATTGCATCATTCGCCTATGGATGCTGCAAACTTCAATCTCGTTGGAAATCACTATTATTCCGTGCTCGTTAAACAATAAACTATTTTATCTACAACTATGGAGTCATTCATACATTGCTAACTCGATTTTCAACATTTAATGACATACATTATTGTGATGAATCGAGTAATAAGAGTGATAATGACAGTAGGATGGCGTAATAATCAGACATCCCATCGTCTTGTCAAATTCAACTAGGTAGGTATTCGTTCTACTAGTTGTACCAAAACGTTTGTGAAATACACGCAAATTCAAAAGACTACATGGTTATCATAGTTTTAATCACCTCAATTCTACACATACACGTAAAAATGAGAATTCACTGTTTTTCATTCTCAACAGTGACTACCATCATGAGTAACCATAACCATAAAATAGGAATGGATACTTGACAGTAGTTGCAGATTGGCTCATTAACTGCTGAATTTGAATCTGTCAGAATCGACACAGTAGTGGATCATTCAGATGGGATTGGCAATGCATGATAATTCGTATGTATTTGCTTTTTGCGATTGCGAATTACCTCAAGATCACAATTTCCAGAATCAATGAAATAGTAAAATCGAAGGAATAGGTACCTGTTTATATAAATTGAATTATTTCTAAACAGATCGCGAAACTTATAGAAATTTCAATGAACATGATTGAATTCATTGCGCACGCCCATGGCAACGGTATCTGTCTGTGACTTGCAGCTGATATTGGTATCCCAGATGACGTCACATAATATGCGCGTAGACACACCATCTTCTCCTTCCACTATGGCTCACACTTATGAACCATGGAACTTCATTGTTGATAACTAGAGTATAGAGACAATCTCGGTGGAGGAACGCTACAGCGGAAGCAAGTTAATGAATAATCTGCAATAGTATATGATTCATTTTACAACTGGAAAGTGGAATGGCATATAATACCTGACTAATATGTGATTGCACGACTTTTTTCCTGTCAATAAAAGTTAGATCCAACATTGTTAATCATATTTTCACAATCAAAATTAATGAAATTAGTAATAAGCTGTTCGTTGATTGAAATTTCTGTCAATAAGTTTTCGATTAAATAAATGAGTATTAAATCAGATTTGGTGATTTCGCAATAGAATAACCTTCAATATTTCCAAAGATATATACATATATTTCTGAACTCAGAGTTGCTTTGATATTTGAATAGTTGTAGATAAAGTATAGTATTCTACTCGCACATAATGACTATTACCCACTCAGATGATTACAGCACTCGCCTTCGGCTCGTACTGCAACTTTCATCTTCGTGGGTAATAGCCAGCATTATGCGCTCGTTGAATAATATACTATTCCTACGAGTGTTTTTGTCCATACTAGTTATAAAAAAAGGATTTTTATAAACAAGATTTTATAATAATGCTAAAAATGACACATAAGACAGAATAGAAACATATAGATCATTTAGCTAGTTCTAAATATCCCACCCCAATAAACTCAGCAGAACCACTTCAATATTTCGGATTTGCAATAGTACTATAATTTGTTACTAATTTAGTACTAATTTATTATCGTATTCGCAAATTTATTACTCTTCATTAAACAGAAGAAACCAACGGCTCTGCTAGCTTTATGTCAACCTAGCAAAACCATAACTGAACATTTAATATTTCGAAAATTTTAAATGTACCATAATTTATAACTATTTTATTACTAACTTATAACTATAATCACGAATTTTTTACTCATCAATTTGAATATCTCGATCTCAACCAAGCAGAACCAATACTCAAATCACATGTTTTTTGAAATTCTGTAGTATCATCGATAAGTTACTAATTGATTACTAATTTATTACCACATTCGCAAATTCCTAACACTTCATTCAACAAGGAAAACCAACCTTCTTGAAATGAGGATTGACAGATCTGTCAATGTGGTAATACATTAGTAATAAAATACAAAGAGACAAAAATCAGTTGAATTTACAAAATATTTTGTCATACATCCACGACAACATATTTTGTTAATATAGCAAAAGTTGTCGATTTTACAAAATTCTGATCATTGAAAATGCAAACAAACGAATGATTTGTTCAAGTAACAAAATGTTTGCTAATACAACTAAAAATGTTGTAATAGTAACAAAATATTTTGTCGTGGATATAGGACAAAATATGTTGCTGATTCAATCAAGTTTTTTCTCCGTCAGTGATGAATCATGAACTGAATGGAATTTCCGGAAAGTTTCAAAAATATGTCATTCGAGTATTGGTTCTGCCTCGGGTGGAGATAGAAATAGACGAATCGGCGAGCAGAGCCGTTGTTTTTTTCTGTTTAATGAAGTGTTAGGAATTTGCGAATGTGGCAATAAACTAGTATTGATAATTCAATATAGAATTTCAAAAAACATGTCATTTGACTTTTGGTTCTGCTAGGTTTAAGATCGAGATAGACAAATAGGCGTTTTTTCTTTGAAATGATGAGTAAAAAAATCGTGATTATGGTAATAAATTGGTAACAAACTAGTAATAAGTTTTCAGCTATGGTTCTGCTAGGTTGACATAAAGCTAGCAGAACCGTCGATTTTGCCTGTTGAATTAATTATTAGAATTTTGCGAATGTAGTAATTACTTAATTAGTAATAAATTAGTAACTTATTGATAATTCAATAGAATTTGAAACAATTCGTGATTCAAGTTTTGGTTCTGCTAGGTTGAGATCGAGGTAGACCAATAGGCGTATTTTCCTTGAAATGATGAG